GATTTTATGCTCTAGTGCATAAAATAAGATTTTATGCTCTAGTGCATAAAATAAATCATTTTATATATATAATATATATTTATTATTCATTTAATTTCCTCGCAATCGAAGTGAAAAGCAGAGTGTATAACTCGTTCATAAAACCCATTTTACCCTCGACTTAAGTATCCACTCGGATATACTCGTCTCGGGTATCAATCTACTATATTATATTATGAAGGTTTTTCAAAATGTATTGATAATGCTTTAAAGTCTTCAGAAAATTACATAAAATTACTCGTTGTTATTACCAACTACGAGTTCTTGTGGCCATGTCATTTAGGAATTTTGCAATTTAACAGGACACAGACACGAACAGCGACACTAGTCGGTTGGTCACTTTGTAATAGACAATTCCTGCAAAGTTTCATTGAATTTGATGAATTTATACTGAAAATAGGATTTCTATCTATGATTGCATAGAACGCACACCCTACACTGCTCTATTATTTTAGTTCCAATCGTAAAATATTTAATTAAATAGATATTTATGTACTTACATAATATAATATTTATTTTTTATCTTTTTACATTGAACATTTTTGTACAATTTATTTTTCTATATATGTATTTTTACTTTATTTTACTAACTAACTCAATCTTGCCTTATTGCGAAGTTTGTTACGACATCTTCTGTTTAGCTACGAACGCGCCGCCCAAGACAACAATCAAAGCGAGCAGCCACCAATAGTTAAAAGAGCTGGAAAAAGAGGTACAAATGAAATAATGTCACGGTTAGTATCACAGAAATAAATGTAGATAGAACGGCGGCGCGCCGCGTGGGCGAGCCACGCGTTGCACGATCTTGCAATATACCTACGGCAAGATTCCGCGAACGCTTCCTCAATACGCGTCGATACTTGCTACAGTGAATTTGAAGCGAATTCCAAAATGCTTTTTGTGCTATAAAATAATATTACATGAAATAATTCAAAGTCGTAAACAAAATAATAAAAATTTCTAATTTTTTTTTTTCAGATTTAAAGCGCGTTATATTTGTTAATTGTATTATTTAAATTAAAAATAAAATTTCATTTCTAATGTGCAACAAACAACAAATCGATAAAAAATATTTCTGCTTTATTAGTACAATTATAATGTTTAGAGGGAAGGCAACACGGGGGCGCCATCCATAGCCAGTTCCCTCTCAAAGTACAAGTAAAAAAATACCATCGCACAATAAAAACTACTTTTGAATCGTTTTTTTTCCCATTTCCTTATCAAATTCACCGCTTTGAATGCTCCACGAAATATGCCGTGTTGCGCCATACCTTGTTGTGGATATTCCAAAGATTCGCACGAAGCGTTACGCTTCCATATTTATATGGCGAACGGCTATGGAGTGGTATTCCCTGCCTGTAGACTTGTTCCCTGAACGTTATAACTTGGGTCTTTTCAAGGCGAGAGTGAATAGGCATTATTTAGGTGTGCCTGCTCCATCGTCGACCTCATCGTCACTTTCCGTCAAGTGAGATGGAGGTCTAATGCGCACTTAATATATTTTATAAAAATTACTTATCTAGGAATACTAATAACTATTAAAATGCGAAACTGTGTCTGTTGCCTTTTTATTTGTTTGTTTGTGTCTACTTTCATTTCGAAACGGAGCGACCGATTGACACGAGTTTTATTTTATTTATTCAATAAAACAGGACCGATATATGAACTACACCGAGATAAATATCGAAAGGAGTTAGTTTGAGCAATCTCTTAATTAATATTAGTTGATGTTCACAAGTTGCAGTCGAGAGTCGAGAGCTCAGTCGGTGTCTAAGATTCTTTCTAGATGAAATTACAAATCTCCCTGTACACAACGCCTTCATTTTTTTTCTGGGTCTCTTTCCCCTTTCCCTTTCCCATCCTCCGTCCGTTTAGACCTGCAGCGCCCACAAGGGGGCTTTATCGCCCACTTTGGGAAAGGCTGGTGTAAATGGAGCATGACCTCTAGGAGGTACATCGAAACAAAATCAGGTACAGGCATTCTGTACGGAGTACACTAGGCTTTTGGTTTTAGCTTGGAGTCGTGGACCACATACGGCGTCTGCATAATTGAATTTGGACCAGAGACTCTACAAGATTAATACGGAGTTCAATGCTTAGAAAACCTGCCTAATGTGTAAAGTACTTTTAAGCGATAGAAGCAGTTACTTACTATCTTCTGAATGTGCTTCTCAAAACTTAGTTCGGAATCCATTAGCACCCCGAAATTTCCGCTTTAGCAACTTGCTTCCTACATCCCAGAATAATAAATTTAGATTTGTCCGGGTTTAACTTTAAGCAATTTCAGTAGAGTAGAAATATTGTTTTTTTTCCTAATTAAAGATTGTTTTAAGAAGCATGTCATCTGTGTTGTGGAAGTATCATAGTATCTGAGTAAAGTCATGTCGACGTAACATATAGTTAGAGTAGCGTGTGTCGAAGTTCAGTTTGTTTGTTTCGGGTTTGTTGTTATGGATTGTCAACAGAGTATATAAAACGCGGCTAACAGGCAAATGGTCAAATAACCGTTTTAAAGCAAAACATAGAGCACAAAATTCTCTTTTAAAAACAGTCAAAATTCGTTAACGTGTTCGACTTATCGAAACTTACCCCAACGATGCATAGCTGAGATATGTAATGGTTTTTATGAGTTCTCAAAAAAATATCTTGTGGCTAAGTGACATTTTAGGTAGCGGAAGGCAGAAATATTGGTTGTGTTTCATTATTTTATTTCCTCGTAGTAAAAGTATCGGATGCAATCATTACATTATTAGGTCTTAAAATCTCGTACCTATTACTCGGCAAATTGCTCGACTATAAGAACTCTCATTATGCAACAATAGCATAAATAAACTGAGTGTTGTGCCGCACCGTTCGGTATTGTTATAGTACCTTCCTCATTACTCATATTATGTCGCCTTCTTAGGTTTTCGCGAGCTACTCATTAGAAATTAATTGTTTTTTTGGATCAAAAGCGAGTAAATTTTTTTTTTGTGAAGGAACCAAAATTTCGGGTTAAATATTACAATTAATAAAATATTATATTTATAATAAATGATCGGAATTGAGTACATGTGTATGTATAGATCCAGGAGTTATTCTTTAGAATATTTTTTACGAATTCCGCATTTCCGGCATATGATTTCCGGAGATAGTTTTACTGCATCGTCAGATAAGCTATTCACATAGGAAGCGGACATGAAGCTGATTTTAAAGTAATTGTAAGAGAGCCAACAAGGGGAAAAAATGTAATAAGTAGATAAGTGTTGCGAACGCAACAGAATTTTTCAATCTTAATTGAATGTAATTTTCGAAGCAGCATCTAAACGCTCGTCGAGGGCGCATTACGTAGGCCAGGGTTCTATTTTGAACAAATCAACTAACACCACATTACATGCTATTCCATCACTGCCACATATTTAACGAACTTTTGTACTAATTAACAAAGGTAAAAAGGACGTTCACTTTTGAATTGTACTTGGGTCTGGCGGCTACAATAAGTAACATTTCACCAATGTAAAAATTGTTTGTTTGTTTTTTACCTAATGCAGATATAATAATAATAAAATTATTATATGATATTTGGTGGTTTTAATCATTCCATGCCACTCCATGTGTCCATAATTATGTAGACATTTATCTACTCATTTGGAACACCTATAGTGACCATTGATAACTATTATTACAAATCGCCGGGGATAGTGCATACGCGTAACTAGCATTGGATAATTCCGCGTATTTGACATAAGTAGCCAAATTGAGTTTTGAATGCCACTGCACATAGTTATATGATTAGGACCCGCCTTCTTAACGCCAGTAGCGAGCGACTAACAGAAAGCCAGAAATCGATGAATAACAAGTCCGCGTATCTGTCGTCAGACACAGAGTTGGGCAGTGGAACCACGTTTTTATTCAAAGCGCCCACTTAACCCATTTCTGCCCAAAATCGTTTGTGGAAACCAAACGCTGTAAATAACAATTAATTAAATTTTGTATTTCTTATAAACACTATGTACTGTAGTTTCTATTTAATTTTCGACTTATGGTAATAATACTGTCTAAGTGTCGTATTCTAGAACTCTACTCAATGCTCAAGTCAGGATTTGAGTATGGTTTAAAGCACTCGAAATCATACTCAAGTCCCTGCCATTAAAGTCGTATTTCCAGTGCTTGAAATCGAACTCAGATCCTGACTTGAGCATTGAGTAGACTTCTAGAATACGGCCCTTAATTACACTACAATTAATAATTGTTTATTAGAATTTAATTTACACATTAAAAGTAAAACTTAAAATTCAATTGCATGAGCCCAAACACGATAGTTCTGCTGTAAGTAGCCGAGACGTCGGATGCTGCTGGTACTGCAGACAGAAATGCAGGTAGAATATTTTAAGCGCGTTTCACATAGAAAATCTTCGCATTAAACCTTTTGATACCGAATTAAGTTAAAATTAAAAATAACCCAGCCATAAAAGATATACTCCAAAAGTCTCCATCTGTACTTCCCCAAGACAACTCGTCGAGACCAATTTCATGAGGTCAAACCTTCAAACACGATTGAGGAGTTGAGTAGACTATCCTAGTTGTAGCATCAAAATAATATATGTTACCATATTATTGTAATGACATCGAATTCTCGAAGAATATCAATATTCTAGTCGGTCGATCAAGTGGAAGTAAAATAAATATTCATTTTATAACCTGAGATCCCTAGACTAACTTGGAAAACAGGTGACGATCTTTAAACAGCTGAACTGGGGTAATGAAACATTACTAGGACCATTTCAATTAAATTAGTATTCAAATAAAAATACGACTTTGAGATCAGGCCATCTGTTTAGGAGCTACGATTCCACAAACATACGCAAACAATGGCTGCAAACTTATAAATCCTCTTTTTGCATCCGAGGTCAAAAAAACAAAAATTTTGTCGCGCCTTTACTCGTAAAACTGCAACAGTAGCAGGACGAACATTTTCTTCTTAGAAAAGGATGATTGGAACTATACAGTAAGCGCCACACATTACTTTTCCTGTTTCCAGATAAAAAAATATATGTATGTACCTATATTTCTCCATCCAAAAAACTTAAATTATTTTTTATTTCTGAAACATAAGAACGAAAGCTATCCGGAATGTCATCATAGATATATCAACAGCTTGTTTTGTTGGTATGGAGAAGTACGAACGTTACTTTTTTATCTCGAAATGTATGAAAAATTGGATGTGTGTGGCGCTTACGGATAGTTCCAATCAATTTCTACCAAAATATTCATCTGCAGGTACGTGTAGCTTTATATAGCTTTATATAGGCAAAATTTCGGTATTTTTTATGTATCTATTAAAACAATATACATTTTTTTCTACTTAAGTATCCAGTTGTAGGTGTTTACACTGTCTAAATTATTTATTTTGTGTAGATACGCGCCTGTTACCAATGCCGCATACGCGGTTTTGCACAATTATAATCAATGCGTTACTTACAATGTACCTACCTTACCAAAGAAGTAGGAAATTGTGCAGTGTTACCTTGCGGGTGCTGGTCTGGATCTTCAAATAAAAAGAAAAGTCTATTTTGAGTATTTTCGAAGCGTTATCTCACTCCCTAGACCTACCTCTGCATTTTTCAAAGTGCGAGTTGTTGGTATGGAGTGCAGAATTCGAGAAGGAGTCACAGACTTTTTTTTATAATATTCAGTGACGGGACGAACAAGTCTTGCGCCTGATGATAAGCTGCACACCATAACAGTTGCAGTGCCACTCAGAGCTTTAGATCGCAAAGATCTGAAGGGCATTGCCACTGCGCCCGTCACCCTGCAACATAAGTGGACAAGTCCCATGTGCCTGTAATTTCACCAACTTTATAACTACATACCACAGTCTACCGACTCACATATGACGTGATGATGTGTCGCCAGTACCCACCATTGTGCAGTTCTGTACGATCAGCTTTTTAAAGTCATATAACCTTTATTTGTTATGTAAGCAAAGTACACTGGAATCATCATTGAATAAACTCCGCTGCTCATTTATAAGGCAAATTCTCCTAAGAAGAATGAACAAGAGACAGAGCAGTTTGCTGTTTGTCAATAAATATACTACCTAGGTCGTGACAACTTGTAAAAGCTAATCGGCTGTATCCTTTTTGTTTCACTACACTTTTAAACCCCGTGAAAGGCAAATTTTAAATATCAACCGGAATCTTATTATAGAAGCATTGTTTATACCGTCCACGAGATCAGGTAAGTCATTAATATAAACTAAAAATAAAAATGGACTAGAATTGAACCTTGAAGGATGCCCATGCAATTTGCAAACACTGATGATGCAGTACCGTTGACATCGACCCTCTGTATACCCTACATTCAAACACGATTTAAGGAGGTCGAGGTCACAGCCCGCCACACCGTAATGGCGAAGTTTCCTGACCAGAGGAAAAATAATTGAGAACATGATAGTAAAACATTGTGATATTCATTAAACTTCATAATTATTGAACATTTTTTTTCAAATATTTTACTGAGATATGATATTTGCCGTGTGGTGCCCACCTAGAATAGCACCACCCCCCCTTCTCATCCTGTGGCTGTCGTAAAAGGCGACTTAAGGAACATTGCCAGAAGAAGACGGGCAGCAGCGTCTTCTACCCATCTTGGCTAGAACTGCGATCACCAACCCGCCCTCAAACAACTCAAGAACAACAAAGCGGCGGGTGATGATGGAATCACAACAGAACTTCTGAGAGCGGGCGGCAAGCCGGTACTTAAAGTCCTTCAGAAGCTCTTCAATTCTGTCATCGTCAAAGGACAAACGTCGAAGGCATGTCGTCCTGTTCTTCAAAAAGGGTGATAAAACACTCTTGAAGAACTATCGGTCAATCTCGCTTCTGAGCCATATCTATAAGTTGTTTTCGAGAGTTATCACGAATCGTCTCGCTCGCAGGTTCGACTACTTCCAACCTCCCGAACAAGCCAGTTTCCGCAAGGGTTTTAGTAACATAGACCACATCCATACGTTGCGGCAGGTTATATAGAAGACCGAGGAGTATAACCGGCCACTTTACTTAGCGTTTGTGGACTATGAGATGGCTTTTGATTCGATCGAGACCTGGGCGGTGCTGCAGTCTCTCCAAAGGTGCCAAGTAGACTATAGGTATATCGAGATGTTAAGGTACTTATACAAAAACTCCACTATGTAAGTCCGATTGCGGGATCAGAGCTCTAATCCTGTCCAACTGCAACGAGGCGTGAGACAGGGAGATGTGATATCTCCGAAACTGTTCACTGCTGTGTTGGAGGACATTTTCAAGCTTCTGGAAAGGACTTGGCATCAACATCAATGGCGAGTACCTAACACACCTTCGATTTACCGATGGTGTAGTTCTTATGGCTGAGACCTTGGGAGACCTGAACACAATGCTCGAAGATCTCAGTAGTGTTTCCCAAAGAATGGGTTTTAAGATGAACATGGACAAGACGAAGATCATGTCGAATGGCCATGTTGTACCCGCTCCTGTTAAAATTGGGAGCATTACACTTGAAGTTGTTGACCATTATGTATTCATGGGGCAGACAGTCCAGTTAGGTAAGTCCAACTTTGAGAAAGAGATCTCTCGTCGAATCCATCTCGGATGGGCAGCGTTCGGGACACTACAAAAAGTCTTTGCGTCCAAATTACCTCAGTGTCTCAAGACGAAAGTCTTTGACCAGTGTGTATTGCCAGTGATCACATATGGATCAGAAACGTGGTCCTTCACTATGGGCCTCATAAGAAGGCTCAAGGTCATTCATCGGGTAATGGAGAGAGCGATGCTGTGTATTTTCCTACGTGATAGAATCAGAAACGAGGAAATCCGTAGGAGAACCAAGGTAGCCGACATAGCTCGAAGAATTGCTCAGCTGAAGTGGCAGTGGGCGGGGCACATAGCTAGGAGAACCGATGGCCGTTGGGGCGGAAAGGTTCTTCAATGGCGACCGCGCACCGGACGACGCTCAGTGGGTAGGCCCCCCACTAGGTGGACCGACGATCTGGTAAAGGTCGTGGGAAGCCGATGGATGCGGGCAGCGCAGGAGCGATCGTCGTGGAGATCGTTGGGGGAGGCATATGCCCAGCAGTGGGCGTCGTATGGGTGAATGATGACTGAGATATGGTAATATTAAAATAGGTCTGAAATTAGTCTGGTCTGAATTACTCTGAGTAACTAGATCCAGATTTTAAAAATTCAATAACTTTGCTTTGCTTCATAAGGCCAGGAAACACATCATCACTCATTTGTTAAAAACACATTTTTTTTACTCGTTAAATACCTACTTTTTAATACTTTGACAGAAAGACCATCAAGATCAGTAAAAGTTATTTTTAAAGTATAACGATTTAAAGGCATTAATAATATCGTTTAGAAATATATACAGTAAATTAGTTAGACTAACTCGTACTTTCTTTTAGTAAATGTTAAACGGTGGTTGGAGACGAATATAACAATTTGGTAAATAGTTGAAATTGGAATGTCTACAATTTTGTCATTTCCTTTCAGTCTCGCTACTTACTACTACCTACATTCGCGCTGTTCTTAAATTTTATTATTTATAAACACGGCTTTAGCTGCAACACAAAGACGCTTAATGATTGCTTGATGAATACTTTCTAGCGAAATCATTAAAACTATCAGTGCACTGGTGTTCGGCCGTTTCGCCGTAAAGTTCAAAGTCAAATAATCACTTACTCCATATAGGTAAAATTTTTACACTTCAAATCGTCATTTTTTTAGCTACTGCTCGATCACTACGCTAACCTCCCTGAGAAGAACGAGCAAGAATCCCTAGGGATTGCTCTTTTCAAATAAACTGAAATGCTATATTTTAAATCATATTTGTGTGGGGCATCTAGATTCATGTTGTCTTTCCATATAACTTTATCTAACACGTAGTCTTCAATTTTGTAATATGACTTTTCAATTAAAATACCTTTGATGTAAGTTTTAAACTTAGGAAATGGTAATCTTAATATATGCTCCGGAATCGTATTGCAACAACGTATAATATTCACAGGCCTCGGTCCTGCATCTGACTGTTTTTTGATAGATAGAGCGCGCGTCTGCGCGTCTGTCTACAAGGCAGACGTTTTTACAATCTCATCCAGCAAAAAATCGTATATCGATGGCTCGTGTTGTGTGAATACTTTGATTACAATATAAAATATGTATAACATGAGACCGAATACTGTTTATTCCTGGATAGCGTGTAGCAAAATTGATGAATGAACCTCTTCAAAGAAACACTCCCGATTATAGATTCGTGAGGGATTCGTTTAGAACAATTTAGATATGGTATAAGTTCGCGGTTTCAAAAACCCTGGCCGTACCGAATTGATTGAAAAAAATTAATACATTCCATTGGTATTTCAAATCATGAATATAGGTGTGCAGTATGCTGAAGCTGCTAGAGAACGTTTATGATTAGTAGATGTACTATTATGTTCAAATAAGTAATGACTTAATATAACAACAATGTGACTTTTTAGTCACCAGCCAAATTTAAAATACAATCCCGGACACATAATCCGAGCCACCTCACGTATATTATTATTTGATAGATCAAAAACTATTAAGCAATTTTGAAACGAGTTTACTAACCATCTTTTCCATAAATCCTTGTTGGAAATTTGGATTTGCGAAACCGGAGGAAAACTTTTACTTCGACGATAACACTACATTTGTAGCCCTTTAAGGCAAAAATGCGAGGTGGGTCGAATTATGTGTCCGGAAGTTTAACATTGCCGCTTGGCTCGAAACTATATAATAGTTGCGAGGTTATACATTTTACATGGAAATAACGAAAGTTCAATTTTTAACTACTATCTGAAACTAAGTACTCCACGAAATATGCGCCGTATAAAGTTATAATTTATTTTTTTTAAATGGAATCTTTGAAACCTAACGCCTAAAAAATAGGCTGTTGATTGAAAATTACTCTTTATTTTATTTTTTTATTAACGATAATGGGTTATTGGACACTCGTGCAATTATTGCAATCCAAATTGTGTACTGTCTCTATAAATTGGTGGACTAGCCATGGCTAGACCGCATTACTATTGCGGCATACCTGCACAACTTTATAATTTAGAGATTGACGTACCCATTTAGGCTATAATTTATTAATTTTCCAAATAGAAGTAGGTACTAAGTAATTATATAAAGCTGATCTATTGTTATTTGACCAGAAATAACAAAATAAAGTGAAAAATAAACAAATTAACCTTTCCGGTTCGGCAGTTCGTGTAGGTCCATGACAACAGACCCAATCTGTCCATTGCGATGACGACTGTGTTCTGCAATTTTAATGTGAAAAAAATCTTATTTTCATTTAGAACCGCCCGTAGCACAGTATTTTAGAGACACCTTTTTTCGAACATGAGCTTTTTATTCCAAAATACATTCAAAAACTTATAGATCTAACTATTTTAAACGTCAGAGCAGAACTCCCGAGTGGTAAATGTGCATGTAGGTGTAGATGTTTTTTCCGAAATTTGCATAAATTTTATCCCGATAATGTGAAAAAAAATATCCTACACTAATATTTAAAATCATTGTATAAAAATGGTATACATCGTTCGAAAGTATGTACCTACTTCTTACGTTGCACCTCTAACCATGCCAGAACATTGTAGCTCATCTGCAGATTGGAAGCCTCGTGACCTGTAACACAGGTTTTTAATAACCTATCTCGGGCACCAGTCACTCACAAACCAGCATGCCCGACTTTGTTTTCTTCTATTAGTCCTTGACGAGAAAAAATAAAACAATATTTCATAGTATTTAAATTTTTATTGAGTTTATTCAAAACGTAAGTAAACTACCCACTACCGTATTGCTAACATCTTCCGATCGTCACATCTTCTCCCCGGTAAATAGGATGATACATCATTAACGACAAACACTTATTCTACAGAATGCATCAAATTGCGCCTTGCTCGATTTAATGCACGCAGTGCCCGAGCAGTCCGCCCGCTGGCGGGGACGTTGGAAACGCCTGTCCTGCGACTGGTTTTGTCATATTTTCAGGCGAATGCTCCGAACAAGACACGTGCACCTCCGGTACCGTCTCGAAAGAGGGCTAGGCCCATCGTCCCCACCACTGAACGCGTCAAAAGTGTTTCCTTCAGCCTCTTGATTCATCATGATCATTGACCCCCAGGTCACTAGGATCGTGCGTTACCTCCTCCGGCCCGGTGCTCATTCGAGATAGTCTTTATTTTTGTTACCGGCAGGCATAATTTGATCGGCGTAGAACATAGACAGGCCAACTACTGACCTGTGTATATTCTAAAAAATATTTTCTATTTATTGTAACAAAGATAAAATCTGTAACAATGCCGTGATGTTCTATTCGGTGGTGTAGGAAAAACAGCAAAACATCTAATTACAAAACAAACGGAATCACATTTCATCGGTAATTCAATGTTTAACATGAAATTTTGCAATTTACGTCCATTATAGCAAAGCTCAAGTTAACTGGTCGATTTGAAGTGAAATAGTTGACGACACCCGTCAATTGTTTCGAATTCGGGCTAGCCAATCGGAGCGCAGTTGTCACAGTAATGAAATATGGCAGAATAATTTTCAAGCAAATTAAATTACATTTTGTCTCTATTTCTGTTCTGTAATTAATTGTAATCTGACAAACTTTGTAATTGGCTATGTAGTACATTATTCAGAATTGTAAACCAAATACGTGCGTACGTTTATTAGAATAAAGAAGTGCAATTTAACGGTCGCGCTCGCACGTAAACCGGTTCGTTATCTGTCAGCTGTAGTCGGATCGGTCGCTCACAAGTACCAATTTTATTTATTTTATTTTATTATAGAGCTTACAGCTACTTTTACAATATAGATTTAAGTATGATCAAACAGATGCCAATTAAAAGCTTCCACATTTGAACTTAAGAAAATAATCTTACAATAACACAAGCTTAAAATTACAATGATACATCTAATTATGAAAACACAACAATCACCTTATAAGTCATTTGATAAGAAGTTATCAATCATAATAGCTTTTACATTTATAACGCTATTACAGAAAAGGTCTATGCGACCGTCATCATTGAGCTGGTTAAATAATGTTAATGATCTTGGCAGATAACTATTACCTCTAAAATTGGTACGACCAACCGGAACATGGAGCAAATTATGCTTTCGAAATGCTCTAACTGGAACTTTGAGTAAAATGTTACTAAGGAGCTCAGGACAGTCAATCTTACTCTGTGCGATGTTCAACAAAAAACAGGCATCGGCTATATTTCTTCGCAGGTGTAAAGGTAACAGATGAAGTTTTCTACAACGATATACATATTCCAATTGGGGCAATTTAAATTTGTAATTTTAAAATCTAGTAAATTTCTTCTGTAATTTTTCAATTTTGTTAGAGTAAGTATCATAGCTAGGATTCCAAATTTGGGATGCATACTCAAGATGGCTACGAACAAAAGTGCAGTAAAGGATTTTCAGGGTTTTCATATTTTTAAACCGCTCTGATGTACGAATGATGAATCCTAAAGCTTTGTAAGCTTTATCATATATGTAAGAAATATGCTGGTCAAACAATAACTTACTGTCATGAATTACACCCAAATCAGATCCAAAGGCGTTCCTAGCAAGATTACAATTTTTAATTTTATAAATATAATTGAAAATATTTCGCTTTCTAGTAAAATTTATATAATAACATTCGATACATTTAAGTCAATTATCATCAATCATTTAAGTCAATCATTTATGACTAAATACTTCTGGAAATTCCGCACACAATTTGTTCACGAATTCATTCTCCGTGATTTCATTGAGGTTTATTTGTGTAATTTTAAAAGCGCGCATCCATTCCCTTCCTGGTAAAGGCCGTGCTCCGCCTCGAATTACATACAACTGTAATGACTCTCTAAATACGTCGCCGAGACGTACATCCACCTCAATGTAACCAAGGGACTCGATTCGTGTTCCTGAGTAGCAACGTAACATTAAATTATCTATCATTATTTTCTTATGAGGAACCCTGCGTAAGTTCATCTCTTCACTGATAGCCGAAATTCAGCTCTCCGTGTCCATTTTGCACTCAGTCGCTATACTGTCTACAGTCAATTTAACAAAATAAGGTTTGTTACCATGGGCTGCAACTTCGATGTTGAACATACCGTCATCCGACTCTTCACTTACAAAATTGTGCCGACCGCCACCATACACTTTGAAGTGCCCTTTATGGCCGCACTCGTCGCAACTGTAATTTTTAAACCGACACCGGTCCGCGCTGTTCGGCTTGCCGCAGCCCGCGCCCGGCCCGCCCGCGTCCGCCGCGCCTCGGCCCCCCGAGTCCGTCGCCGCTGTTGCTCCCGCAGTGCCGCTTACTTCTGCATGTTTCTCCGCGGCCTCCAAAGCCAAAGCCAGCTCCACTGCCTCCTTAAACTTGATTTTCTTTTCAGCGAATATTCTGGATCGCATGACGTCACTCGCTAGACCCGATACGAACTGGCCCCTCAATTCTCCTCAAGTGTAGAACAATTTTTGCACTTTCCGAAGTTACAGGTAGACGCGAGGTGTTTCAACACCTGTAGGTATTTCGTGAGAGATTCGTCCGAATGCTGCCGGCGTTGTCTGAACGCATGACGCTCGGCAATCTCAGACCGTTGTGGTTCTTAATGTTCGGTCACTAATTGAACTAGCTCTTCGTATTTTTTGTCCTCTGAAAAGCTTGGTGAACACAAATCACACTTTAACACGTACGTGGGTTCACAGACAACGGATATTAATAATGGCTCCTTCAACTTGTCAATTTCGTTGAGTACAATGTACTGGTTACCGCGACGAATATACTGTTTAGGTATATATATGCCACTGTTTCGAACCTAAGTTAAACGCTTCTAACTTTCCTATCGCCATTTTTTAATATTATTTTTAACACTTTACACGCAATTTGGTATAACAAGAAAAAGAGAAAAACCAAAAAAAAATTATCCCGTGCTCGACGCCACTGGAACGTCAATGAAAGGCTCGAGCTAACGACAGACTGGTTTATTCAAAACGTAAGTAAACTACCCACCACCGTATTGCTAACACCTTCCGATCGTCACAATTATTATTAATACAAAGATCGAACACTCAGAAAAAATTCCTTCGATCTGGCCGGATTCGAACCGACGTCTTCTAGCATACCGTGGCAGACACTATACCAACTAAGCCACGGAACGAACTAGCGGACCTCACGTATTTCTCTATGTGCTTGTTGTCGTGTTTTTGTATTTGGTTTTTCAACGACTTTTTAGCGCCATCTATGAAAAATCCAAGTATTTTGTCACCCAGTTACATACCTTTACAGCTACCAGCCCATTAATAATTATAACAAACTAGTGGAGTAATTTCACATAAAAAATAATTGAATATCAATTCTATAAAAATTTAAATACAATGAATAGCGACATCTGTAGCCGGGGCTATATTTCATTTCTAACACCTTTTACCAAGTTCATAACTTCGTTAGATTCAGAGTACCTAGCAAATGAAACTATTTTTCCGGATTTAAATCGCGTATATTTGTTTTCTTCAAATAAACCGACGTTTCGGGCCTCTATCTATATTATCTGCGTACATCCTCATTTATTTAATTTTTATGCGACTGTTTTTTTAGAAACATTCTTTAAATTGATTATTTGATAGTAATAAAAAAATATACTATTATTTTTTGGAACCGTCATATGCGCATTTTCTTTTTCTAAACACGTACAAAACACCTGTTCTTTTACTTCTTCTTCTTTCAATGAAGTTTTGACTTTTATAACCAAGGCATTTTCTAACGCACTTCGAGCTATCAACGCGATAGTACTTCTTTATTGGCGTATACTTAAATTTAAAAATGCAGATACCTACCCCTTTTTATGCACTGAATTGAATCAGGAGTCACTTTGAGGTATCCTCTAATAATTATTTAGCTCACCTAATTCCTGATTGTCTTTTTAGTCAGGTATTTCCTTGCCTTGTTCTTTCTGTTCCTTGGTCTTGCACTTCCATAAAAACGTTGTTGAAAGACCAGGCGCGAAATTTTTTTTGAACATGGAGATATCATAATGATTAAAATAGTCAAAAATTGTTTTAAAACGGTCACTTAATATATATTAACAGATATTTCTTTCTTTTCTTAAGTATTTTAAACATGTCCAAACGTTAAGTTATTTTTTTTAAACTTCACCTTACGAACTGATGTAATACATTCATTTCTCGAAGATGAAAGACCTCGACAGCGGCGGTATTCGCAGCTTCAAGTATTGCTATTATAATAACCAAC